GTGAGATCTCCAAATCCTGTCGTCTGAAGCTACTTTCTCCTCCAGCTGAAATATCCATGATGACACAGGTGCATAAACGTTTTTTTTTCTCCAGAGTATGACTTACAAAGCATTAATTCCTACTAGACTACTGCAAAGGTATTGAAAATATGAGTGAAGGACCTCCTTAACTTTGCAGACGATGCTTTTGCAGGTTGTGTAGGCTTGCATAACACAATTTGCAAAAACCTTTTACAATTCTGGAAATGTAAATGTGCAGAAGTGGGGAAAAAAGATCAAAAGATGGTGGAATGAAAGCAAAGAACTTCAAACGCATTCAAAGGGTTATTGAAAAGGATACAAAGTAGATCAAATATAGGACAGAAACATCCATAAGGCAGTCATGTCTCTCATGAGACATAAATGTACTTTGGAGTGTGGTCCTGCTACAAATCATTATAGAAAACATTTGCACTTCCTCTCTATTGATTTGGTGGTTAAGAGGCTCCTTTGCTCCCTTTAGTGGTCTTTATTGCATATCCCTAACTGAGCGAGCTGCAATTTACAGACAGCATGCAGAACAAATGTATATTTTAAAATCAGTATTACAGAACGAACAGTTTTTACAGTTAAAGACCATTTAATGCCGATATTTAAACTGATCCACTTCTGAAATTCTGATTTTGAATAGAATTTGTTGAGCTAGCTAAAATACACAGAGATGAAATCGAAGTGAATTAAAATTAATGAAGAAACAATGGATGCAAATGTCAGTTGAATGTTTCTATACACTAAGCTCCGCCCCTTCAACTCCACCAGTCTGACCCTCGCTCTTTTGTCCTGAACAGTTGTTCCGTTACATGTTGAGTGGTAAAGCTGTCCAAGGCATACAAGCGAGGAGTAAATTAGAAAGACAAGGACACTGGGGGGCCCTTTCCTCATCTTTTTTGTCCTTGCTCCCTCCCTCCATCTCTACCTCCATTCTCTACACTTTTCCAGCCTCCCTCTGCAGCGAAAGTGGCTTTTAAAAGATCCATCGCCCATCCCAGAATGTTACATCTTCCGCAACGGCAATTATCAGGCAACTATCCACGAGTCTCTTCACTCCCAGTTTAGCTCACCGGTGCCACAGAAAAAAAAAACATTAAAAACCTTTTCTGTCCAGACAGAAGGTCACATAAACAGAGGGAATTAATCTAAACAAACACTTCAGAGGCCCACAGACTCTACTAGCTGAGAAGGGTGACGCTGCAGCTGACATAAGTTATCGCTTTTTCCATCCCCAAACTCTCATCCCAGTCAGTAAATTATTGATCAGCTCTAACGAGAATTGATATCTGTTATAAAATGACTGCTGGTGTATACAAAGAAAATGAAGGGATTCCATTTAAAGGAGAGAGCAAACTGGCAGGGACACATACTGGCCGCTGGAACATGATAATTTCTCTCTTAGCTTAAATGCACTCTCTGCTATGAGAATTAGAGCAGAATATGCTTTTAACTTAAGCCTGAGTCATGCTTCTCTGTCAGCTCCAAAAGGGAGAGACGCACGCACGGACGGAGACATTTAGTCGTCATGCTTCTCAGTCTCCTGGGGAGTGTTGCAAAGCAATTCCCCGCCAGGACAGCAGAGGGCGTAGCGCTGTTCTGTGGTATCCTGTCGTGTCCGGTCCAAGATGGTGTGTTTATATTGTGTTTTTTGTATTTAAGAGACTTTTTAACACAGACAAATTTGTCTCTCATTCTCCTCCCCCTCTTCATGCGCTCGCCACCTCTAAACCCACGTTTTCTGTCATTTCCGTCCACAAATAAAATGCTTGCTGCGTATCTTTTCACTCCTCCAGTCACAGGGGAATTAAACGTTTCTATTTTTAGAGTTTTTTCGCGAGGTGTTCTTCAAGCTTCTTCGTGTCTGCCGCTAGTTATCCTCGGCTCTATTTATGTTTTTGAGGGCGCAATGGAGGTGGTGTAGACGAACGACAGCGGTGCCCTGACCAATCACAGGCTTGCGTTCTCCGTCTCGACGGACGGATGTTTAGAAAAGAGAGCTCAACTCCATCCGTCCTTGCAGGGGCTCTCCAGCAGGCCCACAAGGACGGATAATGGTGTTGCGTGTTTCCGCACTGACGCAGAGGCAGAAGCATGAATCAGGCTTTAGGATGTGACGCATCAGTGAGAAAAAGCGTGTGAATTATTTTGGAATAAACTCCTTTTCTCTTGTTTTTTTAAATAATCTCACAGGATACTTACTTTTAGAAGACATGCCGAAACAAGACCTTCTATTAATTAATAAAAATTCTTAGCAAACCAGTTTGACTAACCAACTGGTAAATCAACACCCCAACATCCTGTCTCAATTCCTGCTCTAGTTTCAAGCTCTCAACGACATGTTTTTACCAATCTGCTGTGATTTCTAGTGTGAATGGATGCCTTGTGAGTAGTTTTCTGTGGAAAAAAAATTCTGGCTCCTGTTTCAGGAAGTAGATGTCAGCCGGAGAAGTAGGGTTAGTCTTGCTCAATAGTATTCATGAAATTCAAACATCTTGCCTCTGATTGGCTAACGGCATTGTGACTCTTCCACTGCCTCTGTTCGATCTGCAATGTTGATGTTTTATCTCCACAAATAACACAAACCTGAAGGAGTTCTGTTGTGTTGTGAAGTTGCTAATGCTAATGGTTAGCTTCTACTAGCAAAGACGTGCTCTGATCTCTCTGGACGCTAAATCAACAACAACCTTCCCCGTCACGAGCCAAGATCAGGGAGTCCATAAATGCTAATTTTACAGTGTGACATAGATCTGACTGGCTTTACTGATCCAATCATTTCCCCATCGATTTTCATTCGGCGGCTAATGTAGGAAATAGGGGCTGAAGACTATTTTTACATTCAGACTGCATGTGAAACTCTGAGTGATCGATCATATAACAAAAAAAAGGTATAAAAAAACATTTCTCAGTGAACCTTGCACTTTAAGTGTTTGGTCTTCCTTTGGAAAGAATTTGTGGTTGAGAAAATTGCTTTTCAGGAAATCCCACGGGTGGCGTCTTCCATAAAATTCTTATTGAAATAGTTTAAGCTAGTTTCTTCTTCTACAAATGTCAAGCATCATAAAAAACTCCAAATGTTTCAAGAAAACTGATTTACTGCCATAAAATTCTCTCTACTCTGTCTACACTGACTGCAAATGATATTTGACACTAGATAAGCGTGGATTATCTAACAATTTGACATCCCTTCAACCAGGGATTTAATATTTAAGCATAATGGAATTTATCTAGCAGTGATGCAGAAGTGAAGGGAACTGCTCCAGTGTCTGGGCTTTGATGGGAAATGTATACGGCTACCACTCTGCTTTCATTTAAATTTAGCACAGCGGTAAGTGGTAAAGGCATCACTGAAGACATTTCTTGAAACATACATTTAGATGTAGATGATTTGAAAGCAACAGAGATGAACGTGGAGTTGAGTCTAGGGTGTGCAACGGCAGCCTTTCATTCAAAGAGTGGAAAAGTGTTTGACGTTCAGAGCTCAGCGGCCTGCCATCAGCTGTATGATGCAGCGGGCAAAGACAGACTAGGATTTATGACAACTTTGTGTTGGTTTTGGGGGGAAAAAATCACATTGAAGTGAAAAATCATTATGCAGTTGAGAGTTCAGTTTTGCATAATAGAAAGTTCTGCTAGAAGTGATTAAACTCAGTTGGTGAAACATTTAAACTGCATGCTAAATTAAACGGTGGCTTGTTTTCTATATCATAGTTTGTCTTATTATTGTCATTAGAAATAAATGACTATGAACGTAACATATGATTATTAACCGAGTTTACACATAATTGACCCAGAATGCATTGCACATGTCAAGTATAAGCAAGCACCATAAAAGCTTCTTTTCTTTAATTCTTAACCTTTTAAAAACTGTAAATTCAATATTTCACAAATTAATTTATAGTTTTTTTTTTTTTTTTACTATTTTGATTATAGTTAATTTTGCCTCTAAATCATTTTTGTTGTCAACAAAAAAGTAGCAACAGGCTAGTGAGTCCTGGCTGGCTTCTTTTTTTTTTTTTTTGTATTAATTAAAGACACTGTGGACTGGCATTTCCTACTGGAGCTGCCAAAGTGGATGGCCGCCATCTTGGAGGGGTCTTCAATTGCCCCCAGTGCATTTATTCCTACAGAGAAACAACTGTAGAAACAACTAAAGAAACACACACTTTATGGTGCTTTTTCATTGAATCAGACATATGGTATGGCACGAAAATAAATATATAAATATAATAAAATTAAATAAATTGAAATGTAAAATCCCAACCGGTAGGATAGAAAAGTAATCCCACGTTGTTTTCAATACTGCACCGGTTGTTGAAACCGTAGGCTGAACAAAAAAAAATGGGCTTAGTTGCTCACTTTGCGTTGACTTCAGTTGGGCGGTAAAGCATTAACGCTCTCCAGTGCCCAATGGGGCTTCTACGCATTCATGTAGGGGATGACGGTGGCACAGGAGTTAAGTGCTCGCCCTGTAGTTGGAAGGTTGCAGGTTCGAGCCCCGCTCAGTCTGTCGCTGTCATTGTGTCCTTGGGCAAGACATTTAACCCCCCTTGCCTGCTGGTGGCGGTCAGAGGGATCGGTGGCGCCAATGCTCGGCAGCCTCACCTCTGTCAGTACACCCTAGGGCAGCTGTGGCTACATCATAGCTCATTACCACCAGTGTGTGAATGTGTGTGTGTATGGGTGAATGACCGATTGTGTTGTGAAGCGCCTTTGGGGGGGTGGGGGGGTGGTTGTTCCAGGACTCTAGAAGGTGATATATCAAATACTGGACATTTACCATTTATTATAGGTCTATGACAAATACATGCTTGCTAATTAGCTAATTGTAAATACTGAGATTAAATGTTGCAGCAAAGCAAATAACTTACATGAAAGTGATAAAAAAATGTGTTTTTATACACACTACTAATGTAGCTGAGAGAAATTTTATTCAACATCGTGTTTTTCAGGCCTTTATCGGAGTTACTTACTCAAAACGTAGAGCGAGAGAGTGATGCCCGCCAGGCAGAAGCCCTCAAAGAAACGTAAGGTGCTGAACATGGGGACGTTAGTGGAGAAAGCCACAGCCAGACCAAACACCAGCATAAACAGCACTGATATGATCAGCACTCGGTGACGGCCAAACCTGAAGAATTCATAGATGTTTTATGTTGAAAGTTTTACAAATTGGTCAATGAGGATTGGTTTAAAGATCTTACCAGTCTGCAAGTATCCCAAACACCAAGTAACCAAAAATTGATCCCACCAACAAAGAGAATTTTGCGATGTGGACCTTCCATGCCGAGTCATCCACCAAACACCACTGTAGAGAGAAAAAATGGCTGATTAGATCGGGTCATGTAGAAAATGGGATTTTGACAATTCTAACAAGTGAAAACCCACTAGAGTAAAACAGACTATCAAATGCAAGGAAGAAACATGCATTTTGTTGTGTTTTGTTTTTTCACAATGATAAATGCAGATTACTACTTACTACAGTGTTATTCCTGGAGAGGAAACACTGCAGTAGGCTGCTGAGTTTGCATGCACAACACATACTTGGGAGTCTCCTGCCACCCCTCCCATCACAGAACAGACAAGTTGTGACAAATGCACCTCCAAAATTCTTGGACTCAAAATGTGACGCAGCAGCAGACATCAAACCACGGTGAGAGAAATGGAAACACATTGAAACGTATTAAATCACTATCCGGCACCAAAGGTGAATAGATAAAAGAAGCAAGCAAATATTAAGTTAAAGTGTTCATGTTGACAGGCAGTTTGAAAATTGTATGTAAAAAATGCCTAAAGCACATATTTCTGCTTTGGGCTGGAACTGTTAGTGTCGACTTACAAGGGAGTCTCAAAACCGTCTCAAAATGTTTGCGAGAATTCTCAGTTTGAGTCACAGGGCCTTTCTCGTGTCACAGAAATTTTGTTCAGAAATATTTGATAAATTTTCCCCTCATAAAAACAACTACAGAGCAATTTGAGCATCTGGATCTCGTCTTGTGACTTCATGAATTTAGCTTCAGAATTGGGGTACAACTTTGGCAGAAGCTGGAGACCAAAATGCAATTGAAACAAGACAAAATTTAGACAGCTTAACTAAATTATGACAAAAAGACACTCCCAGTACTCCCAGTTTCTTTGCATCCACTCTAAAAGATCATAACATAAAAATGCTAGCTGCAACAGGCTTGGACATACCAATTCAGTGTGAACACAACTGAAACATTTGCATATTATCATGCAACTTTGCAGCCGGTTAAACTCAAAACAAATGAGATGTTTAACAAAAAAGGAATTTACAAAAAGGTTTAACTCATTATCTCATTCTTGCATAACCCGGGACTAAGGGATTTTAAAAAGACTTGTTATATGACAGCAAAACTTTGGATATACTGGTCCATCTACCTTCCAGTCCTCATCTATGTTCACGAGCTTTGGGTAGAGACCGAATAAACAAGATCGCAGATACAAGCAGCCTAAATTTGTTTTCTCTGCAAAGTGTCTGGGCTCTCCCTTAGAGGTAGGGTAAGAAGCTCAGTCATCCGGGAGAGGTTCAGAGTAGATCTGCTGCTCCTCCATGTCGAAAGGAGCCAGTTGAGGTGGGTCGAGCATCTAGTTAGGATGCCTCCTGGACACCTCCCAGGTGAGACCCAGGACACTGGAGGGACAATGTCTCTCGGCTGGTCAAGGAACACCTTGGGATTCCCCAAGAGGAGCAGGCTCAAGTGGCTGGGGAGAGGGAAGTCTGGGCGTCCCGACTAAGAACGCTGCCCCGCGACACGACTCTGGATAAGTGGCTGAAAATGGATGGATGGATATATAACAACGTGTAGCACGGTGTGGCAATTCCTGCTAACTATCAGCTAATGCTACCTTTTCTGTCTGATAATCGTTTTGTAATTTGTGGAAGACTGTTAGTTCCTGTTATATTTTCATTTTGTGTCCATTTCTTCTTCAGTTGTTCTTCACTGGAGAAAATGTACATCAACATCCGAATTTATGTGACACTTGGTTGCTATACTGGCGTCATTAGCAGAGTAACACAATTCTGATGGTTTAGAAAACCAGGAGATAAACTTCAGAGAGAAAGAGATGAATGTTTACAGGGTTTCATAGCAACATATGCCTTGCAGCTGTGCACCAAAACTAGCAGTTAGACAAGGGTGTGGTCACCACAGCAGGTGTGTGTGTGTGTGTGTGTGTGTGTGTGTGTGTGTGTGTGTGTGTGTGCGCCACAGCTTTTCACTGTAAAGAATCACATAAAAAGAAAAATATATATAAATTTGTACATCAACTCTACCCTTTGTTGACATAAAGTGTTTTCTCACACAACCTCGAGACACAATGACCTGTACAGAAGGGAATGCTCCAAGACTGCCCATTACCACTCAGTCGTCACGTGATCAAAGCATGCAACCCATTCCTGGTTTCAGTATCACTGTCACCAGAGAAAATGACAGATGGGGAAACAAGTTCCTGTTGCACAATCGCAGGACAACAGAGCGTGCTAGGAAAGGAGAAGCTGCCTTTCTCCTCTGAAACCGTGACAACGATGTACTGAAACCGTCTGACTGCGATTATGCATGGATCACCTGGAAGTCTGGTGTCTGTGCGGTTCACACTAGTCACCGCAGACGTATGACCAATCAGCAAACATCAGATTTTTCATGACTAAAGCGGCAAGAGCTGAGTAATTTTCTGTGTAGGAGGGTTCATCTAATTTGTATTATAAATATATATTCTTAATATTGATTTTAACATAAAAACAAGCTGAATCAGACTACACAGATGACACAAGAAGACGAAGCCACTCTCAGCTGCACATTTCTGCACTCGTTGAACTATACAGTGGTGGGTGGAGGTAGAGAGAGAGAGAGAGAGAGAGAGAGAGAGAGAGAGAGAGAGAGAGAGAGAGAGAGAGAGAGAGAACAGGAGGGAGAGAGGAGGACATTGAGGAAGGATAAAAAATTATAAACTATATTGACTAACTTAGAAGAAAATATGAAGGAAAACAGAAAAAAATATCTAAAGCTTTTAGAAAAGTTGAACAGATGACAAGCTATTAACTGACGAGGGGGGATAAGAGATGCTTCAAATTGTGAGGAAGAGGAAGACAACACATGAAGAGACTGCTGCATAGTTACTGCCTAGCAACAGACCATCACTGAGGTTATCAGACTCTGCTTCCAAGAAGAAGTTTTAGCACAGCTGTTTAACAATCATCCAGGGGCCGAAAACCACACCAATAATGGGATTGCGTCTAGACTGATCTGGTATTAAATTAGAGTGAAGGAAAGCAAAGGAATGAATCTATATACAACTCATATTCACACTTAGATGCAAAATGAAGGGGGAAAAAATGCAATAATCTGGTTAAACACCTTTTCCAGTTTGGGTGATGACAGTTACATGTTGCTCTTATCAGCAGTTATAGATGTTAGCTCTCAACCTTCTGTTAATGATATCTGAACATAGCACATCTATCATACCAATAGAACAATCCCTGCATGAACAATAAACTAAATTTCATTGCATGTATGTAACAATAACTTTAACCCATGAGGTCCGTGCCTGCCTGTTAGAAAACAGCACTTATCAGACCTTGCCTGCAGCACACACACTTATCACACATGCTTACAGAGCCTCAGCAGAGTTTTATCTTCTGGACACACAAGCGTCTCCTCCACCTCACAGCTGACGCCGTGAGAGGCTGTCATTGTGTGTTGGCTGGATATCTGCAGTGGGGTCGTCGCCTTTGACAGCTGAGACCGTTTAAAAAAAAAAAGTCCCTCACTGATCCAGGGTCAGAGGACAGAGTCAACCAGCTGGGTAAACAGTATGAGGGACGCAGAGTGGAGAGGCCTGCAAGAGTGTTCAGCTATGATATCATCTTTCAAATATATGGGTGTGCAATCTCCTGTGCAGCGATACCACCAAGGCCGTGTGTACCCATCGGTGTGCTTTCACAACATTTCTAAATGATCGCTGACATACAATGCTTTATGCGTAGCATGTGCATAAGTAGTTCAACATCCTCTGTTATATCTTCCTGTACGCATGGTCCAGCATCCCTAGGTGTTTACCACATAAGTTACCTGAAACAGTATTCCTTTAAAATTACATTTTTACATCTGTTCAGGAATTACAGGCGCAGACAGAATTGTTGGTACCCTTTGGTCAATAAAAGAAAAACTCACAATGGTCATAAAAATAACTTGAATATGACAAAAGTAATAATCAATAAAAATTCTGTGAAATTTAACCAGTGAAAGTCAGACATTGCTTTTCTGCCATGATGAACTGAATTGTTTATTAAAATAAACTCATGGAACAAGCCTGGACAAAAATGATGGTACCCCTAAAGACTGATAATATCACCAAAGGGACATGTCAGTTCAAGGGGTGTTTAATAATTAGCATCACAGGCGTCTACAATCTTGTAATCAGTCAGTGAGCCTATCTACAGAGCTTCAGGTAGTCACTGTGCTGTTTGGTGACATGGTGTGTACCACACTTAACATGGACCCGAGGAGGCAAAGGAGAGTTGTCTCAGGGTATTAGAAAGAATATTATAGACAAGCATGTTAAAGGTAAAGGCTATAATACCATCTTCAAGCAGCTAGATGTTCCTGTGACTACAGTTGCACATATTATTCAGAAAGTTAAGATTCAAGGGACTGTAGTCAATCTCCCTTGACATGACGGCAGGAGGGAAACTGATGTCGAATCAAAGAGACTGATAATCCAAATACTAACAGAGCCCAGAAAAACTTCTAAAGAGATCCAAGGTGAACTTCAAGCTCAAGGAACATCAGTGTGAGATCGCACAGCTTCTGGGAGAATGTCCTATGGACAGATGAGACAAAAATTGAACTTTTTGCCAAGGCACATCAGCTTTATGTTCACAGATGGAAAAATTCTGCACATCAAGAAAAGAACACTGTCCCTACTGTGAAACATGGAGGGGGCTGTGTTACGTTCTGGGGCTGCGTTGGTGTCTTGAATCTGTACAGGGTACAATGAAATCTCAAGAATATCAGGGGATTCTAGAGAGACATTTGAGGGCCAGTTTCAGAAAGCTTAGTCTCAGTTGCAGGTCATGGGTCAGGACAATGACCCAAAACACACAGTTAAAGAGGAAAACATTGCACTTTTCTAAAGTGGCCTTCTATGAGCCCTGACCTCAATCCAACTGAGCGTCTTTGGAAGGAGCTGAAACACGTCGTCTAGAAAAGGCGCCCAAATCCAAGACAACTGGAGCAGTTTGCTCATGAAGAGTGGGCCAAAATACCTGCTGAGAGGTGCAGAAGTCTCACTGACAGTTACAGGAATAGTTTGATTGCAGTGACTGCCTCAAAATGTTGTGCTACAAAATATCAAGTTAGAGATACCATCATCTCTGTCCAGGCCTGATCCATGAGTTGATTTTTTTCCCAATAATTCCATTGAAGCAGGGTTGAAATGCAATGTCTGACTTGCTTTGGTTACATTTCATAGAATTTTTTAGTAATTATTACTTTTGTCAGATTCAAGTTTTTTCTGTGACCATTGTTAGTTTTCTTTCATTGACCGAAAGGTACCAACAGTTTTGTCCACATACGTAAGCACCAATTGACAATTTTCTATCTTAGTGTTCAAAATGTTTACAGACATGTGTCTCTCTTACACCCAAAGATAAAGTGCAAGCACACCTCATTACAATATAACAACTACAGATCATTAGCTGCCAAGCACATCTGGTTACCATTTTAAAATGAAAAACACTTGCATCACCATTGTAGAAGTCACTGTATGAATGTGAGCTGAGTGGTCAGGCTACACAGAGACCGTCTCTGAGTAATGATACGGCTCAGCTCAATTAAGAGAGGGACCCCCAAGGAGAGCGTGGACTCAATTAGAGCGGGTTTACACATTAACCACTTAGGATGTTTCTCAATGACTTCAACTGCATTCAAGACTTGTTTTATGTCACCCTGAGAAGAAGAATTGAAGTAATTTCTAAGTTAATCCATGTGAAACAGACATTTAAGAGCAACAACCATGTGTTGACCTTGTGTGATCTAAGCAGAAAGAGGCTTAGGAAGTGTTGACAGACTTTTGCGCAGAAAGCGTTTTATCCGTGTTGGCACTCTGCCCTGCTTGTCAGGGATCACGTGTTACACATAGTTACCCCACTCATGTGCAGTTATACCAGTGCAATCCGAACTCCAGGAGATATGCCAGGTCATCACTTCTGAATGTGGCGTCACGTCCTAGTTCATGTGCAGTGATGGGAAAAGAGGAATCTTGGGAGATGGAGGTAGGAGGGGGGGAAGGCTGTCAAAACAGACAAGGCCAGTGACAAGCGCGCCGGTCAACTTTGCTTCCCTGCTGAGTCCTCTTTGGGATTTTATGTCGACACAACAGCAATCATAACATGATTTAAATGTCTTAAATCATAAAAGATGATACACATACAATTTAAAGGATTTTTTTTGTTATTTTGTAGTGTTTCTTTGTAAAAAATAAAAAATAAAATACACAAAAAACTAGTTTAACCAAATGATTTGAGATAGCAAAAAATCTCTGTCGAAGAAGAAGACGATCTGCACGTCTCAAGATAAAAATCACGAGATGCTTCACAAAACAAACAAAAAAAAGTATAAAAAGATTTCTAAAATGATTAAAATATGATTAAAAGGATAAAAGAAAAAAAAGTAAGGAAAGTGAGAGAGAAAATTTATAGGAAAGAGGTAAATCAATGGATGCCGGGAAAGGTGGAATAAAAACAGAATAAGGAGAGGGTGTTGAGTGAACTTGTGCTTTTTTTTAAGAAATGAAACATAAATTCATGTGGTAAAAATCCCAATACTATGCATGATCAGTTTAACTGTTGATTGGCCCATTTTAAAACGAAAATATATTTTCAATCATATTTTTAGAGATGAATCACAATCAGACGAAATCTGTAGCAGCAGATTAGAGCTGTGTGGGAAGCTGTTGTCAGCCCTAAGAATCAGAATCAGCTTCTCTCAGGACTGATGAGCTAATGGCTAGTCAGAGCCAAATTTAAATAGTCTAAATCTGTAAAAGATAGATAAACACATTTAAGAAAAAAATTATTTAGAACACCATCAGGTTTTTCGTTATGTGTGTGGACTTCTGTAAATGTAAATATCAACAGCTACAGAAAAATGTTGCACTTCTTGTGCGTCTAGGAGTCAAATCTGGAAGGAATTAATTACAATTTCTACCAAATGACCATTTCAAGTGTGGACCACGCTGCGTTTTTTGGCTATTACACAGGACTGCTCATGCCACACTGCGAGAACTACAGAAGGGTGGCCGAAAAACGCCCAGCATGGCCCGGGCTTTAAGGAAAACCAACATGTGTTAGTTTGATAAAATAATGCCATGAAATGTGGTGAAATTTAGGAAAATGGTGAGTTTTTTTAAAGACAGCAGTAATCTGCTTTGGATTTACTTTATTTTAGCTAGTGCCTCTTTAAAACAACTCAGATTTTCTTAACATCACTTATACTATTTAGAACGCTATCGACAATTGTTTATGTTGTGGTTATTTATAACCTTTACTCAGAAATACACTTCAGCATGGCTGATCTCTCTTAATCAGCTGCTGGTGTTGGTAGTATCAACACAGCATTATTAATATGTGTGCAAAGGCAACACAAAGGTCTGCATCTCCAAGTGCCAGCATCACAAAGACTTTCCATGCTTCAGCTTTTTGCACAGGAGGCTTGTTTTGGTTTAAAACCATAAGAGAACCAGCTGCTGTAAGACGGATCTAAGCGACTCGTTTTCTGCTCGCATGTGTCTAAATTGTCAGCAGCAATTTAGAAACACAAAAGTGAATGTTTGTTAAAAAGATACAAAAATAAAATGTTATTCATCCTGGCATTAAATGAAAACCCTGACCCTTAAGTCACCCGTTGGATGGTAAATGAAATTGAGTATTAAAAGTGGACTGTGGCTTGCAGCTTAATTAAAATGCCATGCCAGGGCTATTTTACTTGCTTTATTTCATTGCAGACATTATCAGTTAGAAGCAGATAGACTGCTGGCATTTCAATGAGTGCTCTTTGTACAGTTCAATGCATGGCCTCAAATCAAACTCTTAGTGATAACTTCTCACGATGACAAAAATCCCAGGCAAGGGCTGCTGCAGATTAAGATATAAAACCTCTCATTAAAAGGGCTGTGCATCAAATAGGTTATAGTATTTGTTACATAGAAAAATAATTAGTATTTTATCTTAATACTAACACCATGAATCTATTTTTTTACCTTCCAGTTCACAGTTTAAAAAGGTAAGAGCAGAATCTGATTTGTAGCCTTTGCAAATAGTTTTATAGCAATAAATGTAGAAAAAATGCATCACTGCCTAGAATAAAACAATGAAAAGTAGGTCCTTTCTATGGGAGCGGTGTAGGGATATGTGCTTTTTGGTTAGGGTAGTGGCAGGTGGTGTTTGGTCAGGGATGGGGTTGCATTATTCTACAGAGTACACTAATGACCTTTGCTCTAGATCAAAGACTCCACGTGTCCGAGAAGACAAACACAGAATCTCCAGCAGCACTTCCGGTTTTGCCCAATGCTGGTGTTTCTGTGCCTCAGGGTCATTCATTCATTGTGTCTGTCAGCTGCTGCCATGACTCAGTGTCAGATGCATGTCCTCACCTACGGCATCCATTGACTCTGGATAACGGCAATCACAACAGTGGAAGATGCACAAATGTGGATTAGATGAATTGAAGTTGTGTTTGCAGCTTGATGGAGTCATACTTTTGTGTGTGTGTGCCCCCTTGTGTGTGTGTGTGCCCCCCCCCCCCCCCCCCCCCCCCCCCCCCCAAAACGCTTCTGGAACAAAGAGTGTAGGGTGTCACTGCTACCTAAAAAGGATCCCCCATCCCTGAGATGGACAGCTTACCTTGGTAACTACGTTCTCCACCAGCCCAGTGTGCAGCTTCAACTCGCTGCAATTACACTTGCTGCTGTAATTTCCACCGGCATGTTGATCAAACGCCAGGAGCGCGCTGGTGTCCTGTGGACGCTGCAACAACGAGGAGGGAGCCAGGCTGTGGTTATTATTAGTCTGGTTGGCCAAAGGATGAACGCATGTGTTGCTCGGCAGGGCGAGGAGGAAATAATCGGAGTACTGGCTGAATCCAATGAACAACGCCGGAATCCATGTCAGCACGATCAGCTGTTTCTGGTATTTCCCAAATCCCCCGAGAAACGGCAGCACGGAGTCATCGATGCGTGTCAGCAGCTCCGCCGACGCGGCTTCGGGAGTCACGAAGCCGTTCTCCGGTTGGTGGTCCCCCGATTCGAGCTGCACCGCGGACATCGCGGTTCCGCCGAAGAGATGCCTCCGATTTGTGCTGCGAAGCCGGGGTTTGCAGAGCTGCTGCTGCCCCCCTGCCGACTCCACAATGCGTCAGTGGCCCCCAGCTCTGCTCGGGCGGTGGAAGCCGTGCGCAGTCAATCACTGGAATGGAAAAAGGACGCACCTCCTCATTATCAGGAAGCACTTCCCTCCGCTCCAGTCGGCTCCGTGTCTGTCTGGCACTAAAACCCGTGCTGGCAGACAGCAAGCTGAGGTAGAAAAGCAAATTTATAGTAAAAATGGGTTCAACCGCTTAGGTAATCACAAAGAAATCCGCCCTATGATAGTTCCCCATCATCGTGACTCTCATTCGGTTCAACGTTGATCAGCCATGGCAGCAGTCCTCGGAAGTGCTTCCTCATAGAGTCACAGGTAACACACCTGACCGTAAAGGTAGAGTCCTCCTAGCTCCAATATGGCCACCAGGAAGAAGACAAATTATGTTACAGCACGCGCGCACACACACACACACACACACACACACACACACACACACACACACACACACACACACACACACATTCTGAACCCAAAAAATAATAATAATACTAGAAATAAAACAAAATATCTTGTATGGAAAGGTTGATATAAGTGGGATTTAAACAATTCAGCCACGTGTCACAAAGACAGTAAGTAGCTTGACAGTCAAAATTAGCAAGGAGCTTGCAGTTAAATCCATATAATTACTAAAATAAACTGGCTTAATAAAATACCAATCTGGTGCCCATAAACCCTATTGTTTACACTGTAAAACGGATTGGATCATTATACCACAATTGTCTTAACAAGGAGGAGATGGCGAAGCTGTCCCCGCCCGTAGAAACACACTGAAACCTATTAGAAAGTAAACAATTGTTTGATGTCCACTTTATCATCCATTATATTATTTATATCTGGGAACTCAACTTTAGCTCATTTTCAGTGACAGAAATCAGAAAATCATTTTTGTTATTAAGTTAGGTAATCGGTACATAATGTGTGTATTCTATAGTTGATACGTTTGAATAATCAAATCGATCATTTGCGTTTTGTTTAGGAACTGTGATAAAAAAAATAGTGTTAAATAAAGGGTGGGTATGTTTGTTTTCATTATGACGGCTTATGATTCAGCGATACATGACGACAAGCATCAAAGGAGGAGTTTTGTGATTAAAATGAAGGGGAGTAAGTTTGTTTTGTTTCATGAATCAGAGACGGCCTGTTAGACTTTACTGTGTCATTATTAACTGGCAACATAAAATGTGCAATAAAGAAAATCAAAATCCCTTTAAAAAGCTTGAAATTGATCCAATTCAATAAATTTGGTGGGTTTAGTTGCTTATTCAAACCCACAGAGAACCTAAAAAATCACCTGTCATATTACATACATAAACAATCGATAAAGGCTTAAAATGGAGAGTAAACTCCGCCTTTGCCCTGCGCCGGTTTGTCCGCCGGCAGAAAATGATGTGTACCTACAGCAAAAAGTAAATGGACTCCCATTTATTTAGTCTCAAGTTTTTTTTTCTGTAACCAGTTTTACCATTAAGGTATTAACTCCTTTCTTTTACGTGAGTGGTTATAATATTTATGAGAATTGGGTTTTTTTTGCATGAAAAATAGCAGACTTGTGGTGGTGCATGAGCGTTCCTGCAGCAAACCATGCTTGTTGACAATTTGTGCATATTACACAGGCTGTAAAATGCCCCACAGAAGCTCTTCTTTCATTGGCTGTTGCACCTACGGTCCACCTGTGTGACCTCGGCTTTAATGGCTGTAGGGTTCACCAACACGCATGGCGTCAGACCCGAAAATAAAACAATTTCTTTTATTGACATAGATTTAGAACAAATTTGAACGATGCAATTGAAGTGGTTAAAGTTAATGTTGCCAGTTTAGTCTTTAAAACATCTAAAATTACCTTTGTTAATATTCCTTTTCTTTGCAGGTGAACTTGGGAATATGTTTTATCTGGCCTGAAGTGCATGAGGCTGCTGAGAGGTTACATATGCTACATTTGTGACCTCACAAATTATGCAAATGTTCTTTTATGCATCAGATCAAGTGAGCACTCACCCATTTTTGTAATTCAATTCAGTTTATTTATATAGCACCAAATCACAATAAGAGTCGTCTCAAGGCACGTCACAAAGTAAATTTTCAAATACAGTTCAGTTCATGATGAAGCCAATCAGTAAAACGTTTCCTACATAAGGAACCTAGCAGGTTGCGTCAAGTCGCTGACTGGTGTCTTTACAGCAATCCTCATACTAAGCAGCAAGCGTTTAGCGACAGTGGAGAGGAAAACTTCCTTTTAACAGGAAGAAACCTCCAGATGAACCTGGCTCAGCAGCCATCCGTCACGACTCACTGGGGGATCGAGATGACAGAGCAGACACACACATACACCAACACACATCCGCACACACACACACACACACACACACACACATATATATATATATATATATATATATATATATATATACCAGTAGTATATCTAGGCATGGGTATCAGTTTGTTTTCAGAATTGCTGGGGACAATGACCGTACACTTGAGTGGGGTTTAAAAATTGCTGGGGACAATAATTAAATAGGCTAGCATATATGAGTTTTCATCCGTTGGTACTGGAATCATTACATCCATATCATAGCTAGCCCAGCAAAAAAGATCCTTGTTATATTATTATTGTATTATGTTATATTATATTGTATATCCTTGTTATATTATTTGTGACTGTCAAATAAGATTTTCAGAGAGAAATACTCATCTTTATATCAGGCTCCACTCTCTGGTCAACTCCACACTCCGACAGCCTAGCTGTCTGTGAACTACCGGATTCATTGATTTTTTTAAAAAGTTAAGAAGCTGAAGTAGGTGAAAAGTAGTGTCCGTCGACCATGTCAAAAAGAAAGAACGCAACCGATATCTGATGGTTTTTCGGCAAGAAGTGCAGCCCTACAAAAAAAAAAAGACTAAGATATCCAGTTTTATCATTTTTGATATAGACTTAGCAGTAGATAAGAGGGCAATGGTTCTCTCATCTACTGGTAACAGTTAGCTAACAGAAATAATGGTTAAAAACCATGCTGTTTATGCTAGGTGACAAAACCTCTTTTCCCGTGACATTTTTGCTTTTTATGTGCTATTAGGGGCATCTGGGAAGAATTCATAAATTGATCAAATGTCTAAGTTTTCATCGTTTTTCAGAAGACTTCACGACAGCACAGCCCTGTGATATACAGGGACTGCAGAATTATTAGGCAAGTTGTATTTTTGAGGAATAATTTTATTATTGAACAACAACCATGTTCCCTTCCATAGCCTTGCAAAACTGTGTTAACCTTAAATAAGATTTTGATGGCATTGATAATACAAAATACGTTTGTTCAGTAGGAATCAGCACCCCCTAGAGTCACATGTGTCTTAGTGCGTTTTGTTTTATTATATATTTGAAAAAAATTTCTGACTTTTGTCCCATATGACTGACTAATTTGTTTCAGGGTATCTTTTTTAAACCGTTAAGTTATTTCTACAGATTATTTTATTTTTTTTACTTTTTGACTTATTAGCCTAGCTGAAGTTATTTATATTTTCTAACCACATAAAACAGGCACACTTTAAAGTCAAAAGCTTTCTTCAAGTAAACAGAACACAAGTTCAGTGCTTCAGGAATGTGTCTCCTTTTTGGATGTCAACTAATGGACACCCAAAGAACCTTTACTTTTCCAACAAAACCAAAAATTATTAAGTCAAAGTCTATGCTGCATTTGCAAAATAAAAAAAAATCAAATCACACAAGTTGTAATGCTAATTTGAATACCCATTTTCTATCAGGAACAGCACGTGACAGTAAAATGAAGACACGCAGGAACAGGCAGCTGAGAATGCAGAGGTAAAATTCACATCAACAGAAAATCAGATATAACCTTACAGTAAATATGAAACCAACTTTGGTATACTCTTACAGCAAGCACAATCACTGGATGAAGAAATGGAGTGTTGAAACAAGCTCAGATCAGATTCAGCAGGTGAGGGTTCAGGAAGAAAACATATGCAAGTTTTGTCCATCTGCAGGGCTTTGCATTGGCTCAACTTGTACAAAAATGTGGAAGGAAAACAGATTTGACTAAAACAACAGATAGATCTACAACACTACAGTTACTACTAAAATACAAACAGAAAAGAAAGTTGTGTATATAACATCATGGCAATAGTAGATCAGTTGGAGAACACTAGAATCAAAACATTTCTGAGAACTATGTAAAGAAACTAATGACAACTGAATAATTACATTATAAGTCGAGCCATCAGCTACAGATGCGGGGAAGCAGGATAACCCTCCACATGCAAACCAGGAGATCCATACAGCTGAGGGTCCAAGTTCCCCATACCAACCAGCAGCACAGCTAATCGAGCCACAAACTCTGCCGAACCGCACTCTTCACTTCCAGAAGAGCTGGCTCAAAATCTTCCCCTGGCTCCATTACAGTCCTGAAATAAAATGAGTTTTGTGCTTCTACTGCACAACTGCTTTTAAAAAGAACATTTCAACAATGGCAAAAAAAAAAAAACTGAACATACCTTTATTTCTCAGGGGTTCCTAAACTGGAAGAAGGCTAGGGAGTCAGTTGACAGGCACGCTGGTAGTAGGGCACACATAATTGCTGTACACACACACACAGGTCAGTCAGAATGCAACTATGCAGCATCTCAGAAAGTGCACAGGAGAAGGCCAGGTCAGCACTGATAGAGATTGTTAGTTCAGTGAGGTACCTTGCAAAACAGGGCCTAGCTCTCAGAGGTCATGACAACAATGATGGAAACTCCAAGCAGCATCTGGATGAGAAGGCTGAGAATGACCTCAATCTGGCAAGCTGGCTGCAGAAGAACCATTCCTACATAAGTCCTGCGTGTCAAATGAGCTGCTGATGTTAATGAGCAACAACCTTATCAGACAAACAGCAACTGCAATCCATGGGTTACCTGTACTGCAGTTCTGTGATAATGGATGGGACCCAGGATATTTCTGGCACTGAACAGATTTCAATATGCCTCCGGTATGTTGATGATGGCCTGGAGCCTAAGGAGGACTTTGCTGGACTGTACGAGGCTTCTTCAACAACTGGCGAACATCTTTTTAAAATCGCCTCTGATGTGCTGCTCCATCTAAACCTGCCTTTCTCAGGTCTACGTGGACAGAACTATGATGGAGCAGCCAACATGGCGGGGCACCTGTCAGGGTTACAAGCTCAGATTAGAAGCAAGCAATCATTGGCCACCTTTGTCCATTGTGGTCCACACTGTGTGAACCTTGTCACACAGGCTGTATGTACCTCCACACCTGTGATTAGGGATGCTCTGCAGTGGGCATACGAGCTGGGCTGCTTGTTCGCTCAGTCTGTCAAATGCAAAACTATATTCAAAGATATATGCATATCAAAAAAGGCTCCTT